CAATTGCCTAAAGCCCACACCAGCCAGGTAGATGCACATGCAAACTTTGGGTATGGCAGGACCCAGGTTGTCTTGGCTGTGCTTCCTCAGCAAGGCTCCCTGCCACATCCCAGAAGCACTCCAGGGTTCATCCACCCCCTGGAAACCTTATGACTTAAGAACATGCCTCATTGAGGCTCTGATTAGCCCAGCCTGAATCACATGGCCCTGTCAGTCATATCAGCATTGTAAATAGGGTGTTCTGATTTGCTAGGCCAGAGTCCTGCACCATCTCAGAAGCTAAGTGTGATTCATTGTGTGTGACTGGGGACAGGGGGAGCCCTGTGTAGAGCCCCTCCCTGTGTTTTCACAGCCTGTGGTCTCCCCTAGATGCTGATGTACTTGTTCTATGCTCTGCCTTTCTATTGCCTGGCTACCTATGCTCTCACGTTCCCTGGCTGCTCCTGGCTGCCAGACTGGGCCTTGGTGTTTGCTGGAGCCATTGGCCAGGTAAGGGGTGGGGTAGTGATGATGGACCATAGGCCCAGTGATCCAGAATTCCCTAGCCTGAAGGAGATGGCTATATGTACATAACCCTAGCCCACAGGTAACTCCAAGCCCCCAGTCAGAGCTAGAAAAAAGCATTCTGGGATATGGCTCTGTAGTACAGTGCTTATCTAGCATGTGCAAGAGCACAGCTTCCATTCTTCAGCACCAGAAACAAACAAGATAATGAGTTGGCAATGGTGACTCACACCTTTAATCTCAGCACTTGGGAGGCAGAGGCAGGTGGAGCTCTGTGAGTTTGAGGCCAGCCTGGTCTACAGAGCTAGTGCCAGGACAGCCAGTGCTGTTAAACGGAGAAACCCTGTCTTGAAAAGTCAAAAACAAAAACTAACAAACAGACAGGAACCTGGAAGGGAGTGGGGACAGGGGCTGAGAAGGGTTGCAGAGTGGAAAGATTGTGACCTATGAAGGGAAGGGCAGCCACGAACAGAAACAGCGCAGAAAGGCCGAGAAGAAGACATCAAGGAAGGAGAGAGCCAAAAAGTTGGAGCTGGATGTTGAAGACTTTGAACTCTGGGCTCTAAGCATGTGAGAGGAGGCATGGAATCATGGGAGTGCTTAAGCACTGGAGGGCCCAGAGCTATTTCTGGGGTTTTGGTAGGAAGAGAAAAGGCCTAGACTCAGTCCAGGCTGGGGGGTCCATAATACTTGTGAGGAGAAAGGATGGGATCTAGGTTGAAGGCAGGAATGTTTTAGAGAAGGAAGACATGGCAGTGGGCATTGTCCTGAGGGTGCTGGACTCACCTGCCATCCTCCCTGTGTCCCTCCAGGCGCAGTTCTCACACATGGGTGCCTCCATGCACCTGCGCACACCCTTCACTTACCGAGTGCCCGAGGACACCTGGACCACCTTCTTTTTCAGCAACATGCTGTTTGCACTGGGTCCACACCTGCTGGCTTTACGCTGCCTCTGGCGTCCTGCATTCTTCATGCATGCACAGCCCTCAACTTCTGAGGGCCAAGGCAAGAAGCAGCAGTGAGCATGTGCACTTCTCTGCTAGAAACTTGACCTGTGCAGCAGGCCTTGCCCTCCAAAGATGGGTTGGCCCTTTCAAAGCTGAATGAACATCTGGAGGACTTGCAATCAGGCCAGAAAGAAGTGTAGGAGACCCATGACAAGATGCTCTTGCTATGTCACTGTACCCCAAAAGCCAGAAGGACCCTAATGCCCTGCCCTGGAATTCACCCATCACTCCCCCCCCCATCCTTTTAATAAAAGCACTTTTGATGTCTAGGACATCACTGCCCAAGTGTTTCAGAAAGCTGGCACAAGAGACCCATGTACCCATGAGGGGAGAGTGGGTTCTTCACAGCCATTGTGGCTGTATGAAGTCAGAGGGGCCAGGACCCTCAATCAGCCTCTCGGTGAGACGCACAACTCCATATTCCAGATGGGAAGACTGACATTCAGCAGGGTTGAGGTCACACTGAAGAAGTCCCTGGTTCTGCACAGCTGCAGCTGTGAGTGCAAGATTAGCAAAGTGCTCTTGGAGCTTGCATCCATAAGGGCCCTGGGTGTGGTGGTGCACACCTGCTATCCCAGCACTGGGGAGGTGAAGGGAGGAGGGTCAGGAGCACATCCTGGACTGCATTCTCATGCCTTCACACAAGAAAGGGTCAAGAGCAACATGTCAGTCAGCAAAGTGCATTAAGAACCTATTTCAAATCCCGAACACCCTTGTAAAAGTCAGCTGCTGTGGCAACCATATAAGGGACTAGCCAGCACTGAGATAAGGGAGTGAAGTGAGAATTCCCAGAGCTCACTGGCCAGCCAGCTCCAGGTTCAGTGAGATACCTTGCCCCAAATCAAGTAGAAGCTAGGGGTGGTGGCACACACCTTTAAACCCAGCACTCAGGAGACAGAGGCAAGTGGATCTCTGTGAGTTCTAGGCCAGTCTGATCTATACAGTGAACTCCAGACCAGACAAACAAACATGTAAGTCTGAGAGTGAGGAAGACACCTAATTTTGACCTCTGACCTACACACACCTGAACTCTCACACACAGGTGCAATACAAACATACACCACACACACACAGAGTACAGCATAACCAAATGGTGGCATTGTTAGGCATCCAGGGAATTACACACAGACTGCTGCCACTGGGCCTCCACATTCTAGACTGAGACTGGAAGTGAAGATTCTAGCCCAAGGTTATATTTGGACACATCTGAGTTAGGGACTGAACTCACTCTCCAGGGCAACTGAGGCTAGCTAGACAACAAATGGTTGGAAAGCATTCTCTATTTCCTGTTCTTTAGTCTAGAAACTGGGTGAAGAGGGGAATCTTAGGAGTGGCTGGGGCCCAGCACTCTCTGGCCAGGCTTGTAGTGGAAACCTCATCAATGCTAGCCCTGTCTTGCTTGGAGACCCACTCAGGCTGAGCGGTCTTCCCGAGTGACACAACCAGCAAGGACAAGAGTGGAACTTGGGCCTGTCCCTCTGAGACCCTATGAAGGAATGTGATTTTTGGAGAACACTCCTATCTCTAGTGTCTGCTAGAGCCCAAATTTCCAGGATGATTACCCAGTGAGCACATGGACAAACAGGCTGGCAGGCAAAACCTCTTGACAAGCCATCACACCTGCCAGTTCATGGAGTTTATCAGTGCTTACTCTGCTCAATCGTTTCAGAAAATTGATATAGGGTGTGGATATGGAGCCCAGGCTAACTTCCTGCCTCAGTCTCCTAAGTGCTGGGAACATAGCCTGTGCCACCATGCCTGGCTTTCCCATGCATTTGTTGGTTTGGTTTTTTTGTTTTGTTTTGTTTTTGAGAAGGTCTTTGTGCAGCCTGGCTGTCCTGGAACTCACTTTATATAAGACAAGGTAGCTGTCCTGGAACTCACTTTATATAAGACAAGGTATTATGTAGCCCAAGCAAGCCTTAAATTCCTAATGTAGCCTAAGGTAACTTCTCCCCCAATTTGATTTTTTGAAACAGGGTTTCAATATATAGTTCTGGTTGATCAGGCTGGTCTAACAACTCACAGAGAACCCAAGCACTGTGTGCCATCTCAACAGCACCAAATGCGTAGCTCAGGCTGGCTTCCAACTCATGATCCTCCTGCCTCTGCCTCTATAGCATATCATATCAACATGCACCACTACAACTGGCCCAAAATGACTTTGAACTCCTAATCGTCCTGCTTCAGCCTTCCCAGTGCTGAGATAACAGGTATGTAACACTACCCTTGCTATATGGCAATAGGGATAAAACCCAGGACCTCATGCATGCAAGGTGAACCCTCCTCCAACTGAGCCTCAACTCCAGCCCCTAGCGGATACATGACCAGGATAGCCTCAAACTTGCTGAGATTACCATCTGTGACTCCAATCCTGCATCCTTCTTCCCTTTTTCCCTTCTCATCCTATGCTGGCCTCAAACTTGATATGTAGCAGAAGATGACTTCCAACAGCTGATTCTTCTCCCTCCCCCGAGTACATGGGTAACAGTGTGTATGGGGTGGCAAGGAGGGTGGTGGATTTAGATTTCCCTGTGCTGGCAGAACCTGAGAGACTTGGTTAAGGGACTTGGCCAGCGGGCAGTGGTGGCACACACCTTTAATTCCAGCATTAGGAAGGCTGAGGCAGGTGGATCTCTGTGAGTTTGAGGCCCTGGTCTACAAAGTGAGTTCCAGGACAGCCAGGGCTGTTACACAGAGAAACCCTGTCTCGAAAAAACAAAAAAACAAAAAAGAAGTGGGAGGCAGGGCTTGGTCAACCAGGCTCCGTTTACCCATCTGCTCAATGGGTAATTATATCATCCATACTCCTTTGCAGCCACACCAGGTGTGGAGTGCAAATGGAGGCCTGTGAGACTCCTCTGCTGGCTAAAGTAGTCCTCATGGCTGGGAGGTCACGAGGTTGCCGTGTTCCCAGCTCAGCGGCGCCGGGGCTGCCCCTACCCCACCACCCCCACTCCGTGCTGTAAGCCCACGCTGCCCCTTTAACGCCCCACGTGTCCTCCTCCCCTTGCAGGCAGACGCCAGGATTGCACCGTCTGAGGGACCAGACCGTCAAAACGTTGTGCGCGTGCGCAGTCGAGAAGCGCAGGGGCCGCTGGGCGGGGGCCGCAATCAGGATGGTGAGTGCTGTTCTGCGCTGAGTTCCCAATCTCGTCTTTGTCTCTGTCTCTCTCCTCTCTGTTTCTCTCCTCCTCTTGTTTTTCTCTAGCTTCCTCTTTCTCTTTCTTTGGTACTTTCCCCTTCTCTGCCCCCCCAGTGTCTACCACTTATTTTGAGGGGGAGGGAGAGAGTGCTTACTTTTTCTTTTTTCTCTGTCTCTCCCCACCAGCCTCTCCCTTCTCTGCCTCTGAGCCTCGGTCTTTTTCTGCGTCTCTGTCTCTATGTCTCTGTCTGTGTCTATCTCTAGGTCTCTGTCTCTGAATCTCTGTCTCCGAGACTCTCTCTGGGTCTCTGTCTTTGCGTGTCCGATTTTGAGTCTTTGTCTCTGCGTCTCTCTGTTTCTACCTCTCTGTCTCTCTCGGCCTGGCTCAATAGCCAGATGTTATCCCCCCCCTCCTCCCATGCCTGTCCCGCTGTCTCCAGCCCCCGCTCATTCTGCCAGGCTTGCTGCAGTCTCCTGGCGCGCGGATAACCTTGCGGCCACGATACGGGCAGCTGCTCCCCCTCCCCCTTGCGCTCCGGTAGCGGGGACGGGGATGTGGGGGAGGGCAAGAGAAGTCATCTGAAACTCGGACAGCTCCTAGGCTGAGACCCCCATGGGGGAGGGCAAGACGAGCTGCAGAGGGTCGGGGTGGTACAGCTGGATGCAGCTCCTGTGTCCGCAGGCGTGCGCTCCGGCAGCCCTCGGGCCCCGCGCGCTCTGGACGGTTGCCTGGGGACTCCTGCTGCTGGTTCCCGTGCCTGCCGGAGCTCAGCGTGGCAGGAAGAAAGTCGTGCACGTGCTGGGTGAGTCTTGTCCGCAGCTCTGGTTCCTGTCCCGTCCCGTCCCGTCCCCCACCACCACGGCTGTGGCTGTGAGCGAACGACAGGGGTCGGGTGGGGTGGCGGGTCGCGGTGGAGCTCCTTTCCAAACCTTGACCTACGTCCCTTCTCTGGGTCCTCCCCCTAACTCACCTTTGATACCTGATTGGTCGCCCCGCAGAGGGCGAGTCCGGCTCCGTGGTGGTGCAGACCGCGCCCGGGCAGGTAGTGAGCCACCGCGGTGGCACCATCGTTTTACCCTGCCGCTACCATTACGAGGCGGCCGCCCACGGCCACGACGGCGTCCGCCTCAAGTGGACGAAAGTGGTAGACCCTTTGGCTTTCGCCGATGTCTTCGTGGCTCTGGGTTCCCAGTATCGAGCCTTTGGCCCTTACCGAGGGCGGGCGGAGCTGCAGAACGACGGGCCCGGGGATGCCTCTCTGGTCCTCCGAAATGTCACCCTGCAGGACTACGGACGCTATGAGTGCGAGGTCACCAATGAACTAGAGGATGATGCTGGCATGGTCAACCTGGACTTGGAAGGTAACCGAAGCATGGGCAGAGGAGATAGGGGGACATTGTGGGACAAACCAAATCAGTTGGCACAGTAGAGACATTATTGGGTAGGGGGATAGTTCGTCTAAAAATACTTGTTACAGCTTTTATTTATATGTATATGTTTGAATGTGTGTGCATGTGGTCAAGGCATCTTGCCTTAGATCCCTGGAGCTGGAGTTACAGGTGGTTGTGAACTGCCTGATGTTGATGTGGGGAAACTCTCATCACCCTTGAAAGAGATCTTTGTGAGTTCAAGGCCAGCCTGATCTACCAAGCTAGTTCTAGTACAGTCTCTCTACACAGAGAGACACTGTCTTAAAAAGCAAATAAATAAACATTTTTTTAAAAGTCGAGTTTTGAAGAATGAATAGAATAACAGTTAGGCAAGTGGAAAAGAATAGAAAGAATATGAGGAAAGTATGTTAGGGAGAAGGGACAAGCCCAAGCGTAAATCAAAGGACACATAATGTGTGTGAGCTGGCCAGAGGTGTGGTCATGTCCGAGGGCCAGAGAGGAAAGAACTGGTTCATGTGAGATGTACGAGAACCTGGGGCACCAGACAGACTGACATTCGTTTTCATCCAGGAGTGGTCTTTCCCTATCATCCGCGTGGAGGCCGCTACAAGATGACTTTCGTGGAAGCACAGCGCGCCTGCGCAGAACAGGATGGCATTCTGGCATCCGCCGAGCAGCTCCATGCGGCCTGGCGCGATGGCCTGGACTGGTGCAATGCTGGATGGCTACATGATGGTTCTGTGCAGTATCCAGTGAGCCAGGCCCGGGAGCCCTGTGGCGGCGCTGGGAGCACTGGGGCTGGTGGAGGCACCAATGGGGGCGTGCGCAACTATGGGTATCGTCATAACGCCGAGGAACGCTATGATGCCTTCTGCTTCACATCCAACCTCCCTGGTGAGTTTTAAGTCCTTTCCCCCAAGAAGAAGCGATGAAGATTGTCTCTAGCGCTTAAGCCCCGCCCTCTGGAAGGATACGTGCCCCAAGGTTCTAGGCCTCAGGTCTCTGAAGTGAGGCTCCACCCATTAGTACATAGGCTCTACCCCCTGAAGGGAACCCTTCCCTCTGCCTGGAAGGAGGCCCACCCCTCAAGTTCAAATGACCCCTCCCTGAAGGCCTGCCACACAGTATGGGCTCTGATCCATGGAGGGTGGCCCCACTCCTGAGTGCATAGACCCAGTCCCTAGAAGAAGGTCCGCCCCAAGCGCATATGTCCCGCCCCCTAGAAGGAAACCCACCCCAAGTGCATAGTCTCCAACCCCTTGGGGAAAACTGACTCTAACTACCTAGTCTTAGGGCCTGGCAGATGGAGGGAAGTTTGTTTCAGAAACATAGACAAGAGCATGGGCCTCATTCTGAAGGGCATAGGTTCTTAAGTAAAGACAGCGCCCCGCCATACACACATACAATAGACACCGCCCCAAGGAGAGAGGCCCATTTCAAGTTCATAGTCCCTGACTCCTAGAGGAAGGCGTAACTGAAATGTATAAAACCTACCTTGTGGTTGGGAGCCCTCTTCAAGAGTGTAGAACCTACCCTCAAGCCCTTAAGGACACAGATCCTCCGCCTAAGGACTTAGGCTAGGTACGCTGGTGAAAACTCTCCCAAACATAGGTCCCGTCCCAAATAGGAGGCCTGCCTAACAGAGATCTCCCTGAAGAGCACAGACCCTGCCTCCAAAAGCATCAGCCCCACTCCTAAGTGACCAGGTCCCGCTCCCCTCCTCCTTACCCTGCGCTACTAGGAAAGAGACTTTCCAGGGCTACCACAGGGGGATATTGAAATGCCACTTGGTACCCGCATCGCACTGGCAGAAGCCGATGGCAGAGAAGGGACAGACCCGGAGCTCAGAGTCCCGGGCTTCCGGAGTCTGGCGGGCCTAGCCCCTGCCCCATTCTGACACGCCCCCGGGTCCCGCAGGTCGCGTGTTCTTCCTGAAGCCTCTGCGGCCGGTGGCCTTGGCCGGGGCGGCTCGGGCTTGCGCAGCCCGGGGTGCGACGGTGGCCAAGGTTGGACAGCTGTTTGCCGCGTGGAAGCTGCAGCTGTTGGACCGTTGCACTGCAGGCTGGCTGGCTGATGGCAGCGCGCGCTACCCCATAGTGAATCCGCGCACTCGCTGCGGGGGGCCCCGGCCGGGCGTGCGCAGTCTCGGTTTCCCCGACGCCTCCCAACGCCTCTTTGGCGTCTACTGCTACCGCGCTCCAGGTGCCCCAGACCCGGCTCCAGGAGGCTGGGGCTGGGGCTGGGCTGGCGGAGGAGGCTGGGCAGGAGGATCAAGGGACCCAGCTGCCTGGACCCCGCTGCGTGTCTAGACCATGAGAACTGGGGTTTGTGGATGTTGGTGGCTGATCCAGGGGCTCTGCACACCCCCTGGAATCTGACTTCTCACCAGAGATCCCTTGGGTATATGAAACAACCCTATGGTACGTTGCAGGCTAACTCAGCTACCTGTGGTCTTTGGACACTGACCACACCCCCTGAGGTCTCTTGGATACATGAGTTATCCCTGCAGTGCGCTGCAGGCTGACAAACCTGTTGTGTCCTTGGTCACTGACTGTGCTGCCTTCTGAGAGACCCTGACAGTGGCCAAGCCCACTTCTTTGGATAGTGGATGTCCCATCTTCCAGACTTTGTCTAGAAGAGCCACACTCTCCTGTAACCCCCAGGACCCCAGTAGACCAGCAGGACCCCCACGGTTTCCTAAAGCTGAGCCACCCTTCTGTGGCCTCCTGGAAAACAGTCCCCCTCAGTCACCTGGAGGCTGGACCCCCAGGATTAACTGGAGACTTGCTACACAAACCCCTGCATATCCCAGGAGCTGGAAAACTGGTCTTGGACAGTCAGCTAGCTGTCCATTGAAACAGAAAACTATGGGTCACAAGGTGACTATGCCCCAGGCTGGCAGGTGACCCAGAGACTAGGTATTCCCACTCTTCCAGAGAGTCTTAAGTTTCCAAGGTAACAAGCCTTGTCCCCAATCACTATGGAGGACAGCCCCAACCCCTCTGTCTTCATGGGAGGATGTCCCCAGCTGGCTCCCAGAAACAGTGGTCATGCCTACCCCTCAGGTATTTCTCTGCCAGAGAGTAGACTCACCTGAATGTCCCTTCCCAGGCTCCTTGAGGCTGTCACCAAAGAGATCATTCCCTCAAACCCCAAAACCCTAAAATTCTCACTTGCAATAGAGACATGCTGCTCAGCTTCTTGAGGTGACAAAGGCCACTAGTGCAGCTTTACCTGTCCTCTCACTCATCTAACCCACCAAAATGGTACATCCTGCCTTCCTCTGTAACTATGGGTACCACACTTTTCCTTTTTCACTGGCCTAGAGACCAGACACCTACCACTCCATTTCTGGGTGAACCTACCCTGATGGACCACTATGGAGACAGTCTTCCCCACTGAATGTCCTCAGGGCGACCCAGCATTAATTTCTCCAGGCCTCTCCATGGAAACAAGCTGCTCCTTTCCCAAGGTGCACTTCCAGCTCCTCTCTGATATCTAAGCCCAACTGTCAGACAGCTTGGATCTCACAACTGTTACCATGGAGATCAAACTCTGGTGTCCAAGGTAACAACACCTGTCCCTCCAAGGCTTTTCCTCCAGGGTCCTGTCCTGCCCAGCTGTTACCATAGAGACCATCAATGTCTCCTTGACAACTGACCTATAGCTCTCAGGAACTTCTTGCCATGAAGAGAGTTACTCTGACTGGAGCTGCCTACTGTGTTCTCTAGGGGCCTGATGAATGTCCCTTCTTCAGATGGACCCAAACAGAGCTCTGCTTCTGGAGCAGCTACCTGCCAGCGTTCATTTACACGATAACTCTATGTCAGGCAGCAGCTCAGCACAAGTCACCACTGCACTCCCCTCCAACATTTTAAATTATCACCCTGAAAGTGGAAAAACTGAGGCTGCAGCACTGCACACGGCCAGAGTTTTTCTTCCTTGGAGATCAAGGAGGGTGGCCTGTTTCTGAAATCACCAATTCAAACAGTTTCTGAGTACCCATGTGGGCTCAAGGGTCAGGAGCAGCATCCAAAGACATCCATTGACAGAGCCATCCCAGATGCAGGAGCTCCCAGCTCTGAGGTGCTTCTTGGAGCAGCAAATGCCCTTGTTGGCACCCTCCTTCCTGTCCCGTCCATCTCTGCAAAACCCACCTTTGAATCTGGAAGCTGTGAGCTCAAGCCACCCCTTTTATTGTAAAATGTTTGATCAAGTGACAGAATTTGCCTAGGCTATTTTCTTCTTTGGGCCAGGATTGTTCTGAGGTCCAACAGTGCAACCTGCAGCTGTGTTCAATAAACATTTATTCCTTTTGATGAATGAGAAACATGGCTACCATGCTCCTCTGTCCTCAGTGCAGTGGGCATCAGGCTGGGCTGGGAAGCAGGTCCCATCCTGCTTTGCCCCCACCCTACACACACCTCAACATAGAAAGGCAGAACAGTTTACCAGGTGTTAAGACCAGGCCCTTATGAGATACTTTCTGACCTCCTTGAATGCATTGTGGGATGTGTACTTATATAACAATAATTCTGTGATTTTAAAAATGTGTTCAGTCCCAGCACTCAGGAGGCAGAGGCAGGTGGATCTCTGTGCATTCGAGGCCAACCTGGTCTACAGAGTGAGTTCCAGGACAGGCTCCAAAATAATACAGAGAAACCCTGTCTCAAACAACAACAAAAAATGTGTTCAGTTGAGATCTGTTTGTAGCATTAAGGTAGTTATTTATAGTGTTTATTTAAAGTGTTTGTGTGTTTTGTCTGCACTACTTATGTTCATGGTGCCCCTGGAGGCCTGAAGAAGAAGCTGGATCCCCTAAAATAAGAGTTATGGATGGTTGTGGTTTGAGCTTCAGTCCTCTGGAAGAGCAGCCAGCACTCTTACTCACTAAGCCATCTCCCCAGTCCCCTAATTTTTACCTGTAAACTTTATTCATTTATTTTAAACTATTTTTATAATTTATTTATCTTTGTATGCATTGGTGTTTTGCTTGCATGTATGTGTGTGTAAGGGTGGTAGATCCTGGAGGTACAGACAGTTGTGAGCTGCCATGTGGGTACCCTGGAAAAGCAGTCAGTGCTCTTAATAGCTGAGCTATCTCTCCAGCCCCTTATTCACTTATTTTTAGTATGTGGAGTGTGGTCAGAGGACCAGTCTGGGTCTCAGTGGTTGATATTCATGCACACCTGGACCAATCAGAGTTACTCTGAAAAATGACCATACCATTCTTGGCTGAGCTGGAAGGCGTGGCTCCACCCCTTCACTCCCACCCAGTGAAAACAGGGAACTTTACATATGAAAGAGAAAACTCAGAAGCTGGACCCACTTCAGGGATGGACAAAATTTATCTAGCAGTTATCCCACTCTGACAATGCTGTCCTAAACCCCTAAACACAACCCCCCCCAATAAGCTGGGTGTGGTGGCACACATCATTAGTTCTAGCATTCTGGAGATAGAGGGATAGATCTCTGAGTTCAAGGCTGACTTGGTCTGTAGCAGTGGTTCTCAACCTGTAGGTCTAAGCCCATTTGGGAATCACATATCAGGTATTTACATTATGTTTCACAACAGTAGTAAAATTACAGTTATGAAGTAATAAGATAATTTTATAGTGGGGGGTCACCACAGCATGAGGAACATGTCAAAGCTTTAGGAAGTTGAGAACCACTGATCTACAGAGTGAATCTCAGGCCAGTTAAGGCTATACAGTGAGACCCTTTCAAAAAATAAACCAACCATCCCCCAAAAGCCCTAAACCAAACCCCCTTGTGATTATCCTCTCCAGAACATGTCCCTCACCACTAAGGCCCATCTGGAGCACATGCCTTTGTCCTATGTGCATGGCTGTCTCCACAACAGATGAGGGTTTATGTAGCTAACAGCAGTCACCGGTGTCTTGCTGCATGGCCACCCAGAGCCTGGCAAGATGGCTCCATGGATACAGTTTGATGCCTGGGACCCATATGGAGGAGGAAGAGAACTGACTTCCACTTCTGCTCCATGGCTTCTACGGGTACTTCTTTGTTGTTTGCTTTGTCTTTTACTTTTTGGTTTTTTGAGACAGAGTTTCTCTGTACAGCTCTCTAGACCAGGCTGGCTTGGAACTCATAGAGATCCTCCTGCCTCTGTCTCCCAAGTGCTGGGATTAAAGCTGCTTTGTTTTTTTCTCCATGTATCCCTGGCTGGATTCCCACTACTCAGCAGGCTGAAGTGGGGAGATTGCTGTGAACTGCAGGTCAGCCTGGGTCACAAAGTAAGACAACAAGTCAATAGCAAGCCTCTGGCAGGCAGTCCATACCTGTTCTTCCCCAGTGCTGTGTAGCTGTACTGTTCCCTCCCTGCTTGTGTTCGTTTCTTTTTTACAGGGTCATATGTGGCCTAGGCTGATCTTGCCTGAACCTCGAGAGTGCTGGGTTGAGGGGTGTCTGTAGAAACCTGTGTGTTGGTCACATCCTTTCTGTTTGTGACAAGATGCTGCCAGAGCAAATTAAGGGAGAAAGGGTAGTTTAGACTCTCAGTTCAAAGATACAGACTGTCACAGTGGGAACTGCCACTGCCCATTTTCCCCTTCTTTATGTTGGTTTAGGTTTGTTTGTAACGGTTCTTATTTTATCAGGGAGGAGAGGACTCACTTCATGGTCCCCTTTTGGTTCACTACTTTTACTATGTGGCCCAGGAAACTGAACTGAACGCACCTTCACCAGCAGAGCCATCTTGCCAGACACTCACTGATGTTTTAAATTTTTTTTTTTTCAGGATGACTTTAGTCTTTTTCTTCTCTGCCCAAAATTGTGCCCCCCCCCCCCCGTGCACACACAGAAGTCTAGCTCATGTTGTGTGTCCATTCCACCCTCCTTGCCTGGCATGCAGGTGTACTCCTGGGAGGCTGGTGCAGGAAGACACTTAATGAGACTCTGTTAAAAACTAAATAAATAAATAAATAGAAGAGGAGGAAGAGATTCCTTGTCTTTCCTCTGCATTCCCTGCTCTCCTTCTGCACACAGCACAGTGGCTGTAGCTGTCTAGTAGAGTGCTTGTAGCCCAAGTGGCAGAGTGCTCCCCAACATTCACAAAGCCAAACATGGCAGCACATGCCTGTAATCCTAGCACTCTGGAGGCAGAGAAAAGTGGATCTCTGTAGATCAAGGCCAGCCTGATCTACATAGAGAAACCCTGTTTCCAAACCCCCCCTACACACACACACACAAAAAAAACAACAAACAAAACCAGCAACCTATCAGTAATTCAAGGTCATCCTCAAATACATATGGAATTCTGGGCCAGCCTGAGCTACATGACTGCAAAGAAACACAGGTGATCAGTGAATAATATCAGACAGGTGACTGGACTGGGTGAGAAACAGTCTGAGGGGGCCACAGCAAGATGAACTGTTAAAAATTTTTATTAAAATGTGTAAGAAGTACATTAACTTCCTCAGTGTCAGATACCACAGATCCATGAACATTGACGCTCCAAGAAAAAAAACCCAGCAGAACCTGTAGCCATTCACACACATACGGCCCACGGGGTTGGGGGAGCTGAAGACAAACCTCAACTCCAGAAAAGCCCAAAGCCCCTCTGTTCACTGAGCAGGAATGGGGCAGGAAGCAGTCACTGAGCCCTCAGCAGCCACAATCCAGCAGGCCACGCCCAGCCTCTCCACTGGGGGATTGCTATGAGCTGGCTAAAGTTTTCCTCCCTTCTGAACCTCGAAATGTTACTAAGAAGACTGATGTGGGCCCAGCTTTCCAGTTACAATCAGAGCAGACAACAGTTGTCTGGAACAGGGGCCACAAGATATCAGCTTCACTTTGCTTTTGTCAACTATTTCCCAGGCGTGTGTGTGTGTGTGTGTGTGTGTGTGTGTGTGTGTGTGTGTGTGTGTGTGTGTGTGTGTGTGTCTGTTCGCAAACACAAGTAAAGAGATTTCAGTCTCTTCCCCCATATGCAAAGCAAAGTTTGGAGCACAAATCAAGACCAAGGTTTGGGAATGGGGCTGAGTTGGTAGTGTTTGTAACTTAACTGGTAGAGTTCTTGGAGCTCAGTGGGTAGAGTGTGGTATCTCAGTGGGTTGAGTGTGGTATCTCAGTGGGTAGAGTGTGGTAGCTCAGTGGTAGAGTGTGGTAGCTCAGTGGGTAGAGTATGGCATCTCAGTGGGTAGGGTGTGATAGCTCAGTGGATGGAGTGTGGTAGCTCATTGGGTAGGGTGTGGTAGCTCAGTGGGTAGAGTATGGCATCTCAGTGGGTAGGGTGTGGTAACTCAGTGGATGGAGTGTGGTAGCTCAGTGGGTAGGGTGTGGTAGCTCAGTGGGTAGGGTGTGGTAACTCAGTGGGTAGGGTGTGGTAGCTCAGTGGGTAGACTGTGGTAGCTCAGTGGGTAGACTGTGGTAGCTCATTGGGTAGGGTGTGGTAGCTCAGTGGGTAGGGTATGGTATCTCAGTGGGTAGGGTGTGGTAACTCAGTGGGTAGGGTATGGTAGCTCAGTGGATAGAGTGTGGTAGCTCAGTGAGTAGGGTATGGTAGCTCAGTGGGTGGAGTATGGTAGCTCAGTGGATAGAGTGTGGTAGTTCAGTGGGTAGGGTGTGGTAACTCAGTGGATGGAGTGTGGTAGCTCAGTGGGTAGGGTGTGGTAGCTCAGTGGGTAGGGTGTGGTAGCTCAGTGGGTAGGGTGTGGTAGCTCAGTGGGTAGGGTATGGTATCTCAGTGGGTAGGGTGTGGTAGCTCAGTGGGTAGGGTATGGTATCTCAGTGGGTAGGGTGTGGTAACTCAGTGGATGGAGTGTGGTAGCTCAGTGGGTAGGGTGTGGTAGCTCAGTGGGTAGAGTGTGGTAGCTCAGTGGATAGAGTGTGGTAGCTCAGTGGGTAGGGTGTGATAGCTCAGTGGATGGAGTGTGGTAGCTCATTGGGTAGGGTATGGTAGCTCAGTGGGTAGGGTATGGTAGCTCAGTGGGTAGGGTATGGTAGCTCAGTGGGTAGGGTGTGGTAGCTCAGTGGGTAGGGTGTGGTAGCTCAGTGGGTAGGGTATGGTATCTCAGTGAGTAGGGTGTGGTAACTCAGTGGGTAGGGTATGGTAGCTCAGTGGATAGAGTGTGGTAGCTCAGTGGGTAGGGTGTGGTAGCTCAGTGGGTAGGGTATGGTAGCTCAGTGGGTAGGGTATGGTAGCTCAGTGGGTAGGGTGTGGTAGCTCAGTGGGTAGGGTGTGGTAGCTCAGTGGGTAGGGTGTGGTAGCTCAGTGGGTAGGGTATGGTATCTCAGTGGGTAGGGTGTGGTAGCTCAGTGAGTAGGGTATGGTAGCTCAGTGGGTAGGGTGTGGTAGTTCAGTGGGTAGGGTGTGGTAGCTCAGTGGATGGAGTGTGGTAGTTCAGTGGGTAGAGTGTGGTAGCTCAGTGGATGGAGTATGGTAGCTCAGTGGGTAGGGTGTGGTAGTTCAGTGGGTAGGGTGTGGTAGCTCAGTGGATAGAGTGTGGTATCTCAGTGGGTAGAGTGTGGTAGTTCAGTGGGTAGGGTGTGGTAGCTCAGTGGATAGAGTGTGGTATCTCAGTGGGTAGGGTGTGGTAGTTCAGTGGGTAGGGTGTGGTAGCTCAGTGGGTACAGTGTGGTAGCTCAGTGGGTAGAGTGTGGTAGTTCAGTGGGTAGAGTGTGGTAGCTCAGTGGGTAGGGTGTGGTAACTCAGTGGATGGAGTGTGGTATCTCAGTGGGTAGAGTGTGGTAGTTCAGTGGGTAGGGTTTGTAACTTTTTCTTCCTCACTACCTTCATGTATGAAATGGGAGACTAAGGGCCACCTGGGCTGCTGAGAGGATTGAAAGGCCTGACACAAGGACTTAGGTGGCTTCTACTCAGTAACTGCCCTAGGCTTTCATTACCTTCTCTGAGGGATGCAGGCTCAGTGCTCTCAGCTCCATTCCTACTGACCCTTTGGGTAGGCCATACAGGCACACTTTAGGAAGACCTAGGGATGGAATAAGAGCCTTGTGCAGGTCTAAGGACTCATCTGTGAGCTGCCCCACCACCACCCTGCCACACCAACTCCCACACATTTTGAAAAACTTACTATTTATTTTGTGCTTGTGCAGTGTGTGGGAGTGGCTGGGTTTGTGTGGGTGGGGTCACTGGTGCTGCAGTGTGAATGTGGAAATCTAGAAGTTGGCTCTGGTCTTCCACTTGTTTCTACCATACCACGTCCCCCAGGCTCACAAGCTTCCTCCCCTATCCCGCGTCTTACAATACTGGGATTCCATGCCATCCCACCTGGCTTTTCTGTACTGAAACATAGGTTCTAGAGATTAGCCTAGCTTGTTTAGGCTTATTGGGCTATCATCTTTACCTACTACGCTGTGCTCAGGCCCCACACTGGGGTTTTAACACAAATTCAGATTTTCACCCTGCCTGAAGGGGCTGAAAGAGAATATAGGCCCTAGAGACAAATCTCTGGCCCCTCTGGGTGAGGGTGAGGGACCACGTCCCTGACTTGGGGAAGTCTTTTCTCAGGTGCAAATGAGAAAAGAGTGTAAGTGGACTCTCACATTTTAGGAATGTGAAACTAAGAGAGAAGGGTGTGTGTGTGTGTGTGTGTGTATTTGTGCGTGTGTGTGTCACTTCTAACATCACTCTTCTCTCTACATCAGGACAACAAGGAGGGGTCCCTTCAAGATGTAAGCACTACCAGTCCACCTGCAGAGTGTGGAGCCAGTAAGGGGTGGGGCCTGAGGTAGGGGATTTACTGAGGTCTGCTGAAAGGATTTAGTAAGGACAAGCTCTGGGCTACAAAATGTGGCACCATCTTGGTCCAAGTAGGAGGTTATCTATCTCCCTGAGAGATGGAGGAGGAGGAATGCAGTGGCATTGAGATCTCATTTCTATACACATGAGTGTGAGAGATTTGTCATCACAAACCCATGATACTGCCACATATGATGATGTATGCCTGTCATCCCAGAACTCAGGTGGTTGAGAAAGGACTGCTGTGGTCTGAAACCCAAATTCTATGTTAATAAACAAAAGAAGGCTGAACATGATAATTCCAAGAGGTGGATGGAGGCAGGCAAATCACTGAGTTCCAGGCCAGCCTGATAGCAAGTTCCAGGCTAGCCAGGGCTACACAGTGAAGCCTTGTTTCAAAACAAAAGCAGCCTCAAAACAGGGCCACTGTATCTCAGCACTGTGCTAGACCTGGGGAAATCAGCAAGATACTAACCCACCCATCGCTCTGAGCAACCTCCTACCAGAAGCAGAGGAGGCCAGTGGCTCTAAGAGATATCACTAAAATTCAGTACACAGAGAGTTCCACACTAAGTTTATGCACTAAGACCAAAGACCAGGGCTGGGGCTTAGTAGAGTGAGCACTTGCTGGGCCCTAGGTCCCATCTGCAGCACCAAATGAACCAGGCAGGCATGGTGGTGCACAGTAGGAGACTCATCCTTGGCTACAATAGTGAGTTTGAGGCCAGCCTAGTCTATGGGGATAGGAAAAATGGGGTGTGTGGGAGAGGAAGAAGAAAGCAAGCCAGACAAATCCAAGCCTACCTTTGGGGGATCCCAGATGAAGCCAAAGCAGATAGTGTTTGCACTGCGGGCTACTGCTGAGCTTCCACTCTCAAATCCAGTGGATTTTGGATGGTGCACTGTTTACTAAGCCTGAATCTCTGGGATGAAAGCCACTCCAGCACACAAACAGACATACTGTTGACCCCTCTGAAGCTTAACAACCAGACTTCAGGATCCCCTTTCCCGTAGCTGGGGCAATGTTCCTAGAGGCATGGCATGACCACTCCAGCCACCCCTGTCAGGAGGACCTCAGGAGGGAAGGAGGGGGAGATCTGAGCTTTGTACAGAGGACTGCAGGGATGTGGATCTCATGAGTGTCCACCCTCTTCCTCAAGGCTGACTGGGTTCTGGCTCCCCAGGTGAATGCTCTGGAGGAGGTATGGGAATGTGTGTTTGCTTAGCCTGGATTTTTAGCAGAAATCCCCTTCGTCCTTCTCCCAGTTTTCTGCTGGGTGTCTCTTGTGTTTTCTGTGCTCCTTGCTGGGTTTGTGATGTCGGTGCTGGTGGTGGCGGTGTCTACGCATCCGATGTGACCGCCTGGCTGGGGGATGGGAAGGGGTAAAGATGGATGTTAGGGTGGTTGGATGTCACTAGTCTCCTCAGGAGGATAGAAAGAATAAAAATACAGGCAGGCCAGGTATGGTAGCCTTGAAAGGCAGAGGCAGGCAGATCTCTGTGAGTTCAAGGCCAGCCTGGTCTACAAGTGAATTTCAGGACAGCCAGGGCTACAGAGAAACCCTCTCTTGAAAAACAAAAACAAAAAAGTAAGAACCAAAATAAAGCAAAAAGCAACTTGTCAGGGCTGGAAATGTGGCTTAATTTGGGTCCTACTTTTTAGCCCAGGCTGGTCTGGGATCTGCAGCTCCTTTGCACTAACCTGGGAGTAGCTGACAACGGGATCCTATCAGCTGGAGTGGGGACTGTGTACATCTGTTGTCCTAGCACTTCCAGGGTGGGATGCAAGTCTTGGTTACACATCTCAACTCTGAGGCTAGCCTGTGCTACATGACATCTGTCTCCAAAATATACAAACAAAAGCACTAGATGGGCAGTGAGTTTTCACTTATTTGTAAGGCTGCATTACCAGGAAGATTTTGTTTGTTTTGTTTTTCAAGACAGGGTTTACTCTGTGTGTCAGCCTGGGTTATCCTGGAACTCTATTTGTAGAGCAGAATGTCCTAGGTCTGCCTCTGCCTCTGCCTCTGAGTGCTGGGATTAACGGCACCACTGCCCAGCCACAGGAAGACTTTTTTTTTTTTTTTTTTTTTTTGAGACTGGCCTTTTGTAGTTTAGGCTAGCCTTAAATTTACTTTGTAACAGAGGATGACCTTGAGCTCTTCATCCTCCTGAGTGCTAGGAGAACTCCTGGCTCTAACCACTGAGCTACAAGCACTGTACCCACTGGGTCATATCCTAAGCTTAGCTTTTTTTTCTCCTGTGGTTCTCACACCATAGCCCAGGCTGACTTCGAAGCTGCAATCTTTCTACCTCAGTTGGGATTACAGATGATAACGTACCATGTTGTGGAGCAAGGACATTATAAACAACTAGAGTCTTGTCAGGGACAGATTATTGGGCATATAGTACTTACGTTTGGTGCAGACAATTTGGGGCCGATCCCACTTTCCATTGTTTCGGCAGCGGATAGTGGCCACATGGTGCTGGAAGAACCCTTCATCACATTGGTATCGAACAGTGGCATGGACACTGTACTTGGCTTTGCGCACACCGACAAGGGAGGCATTCTCCACTGCTGGAGGGGGACCACACAGCACTAGGGACAGAGGGGCTCTGGTTAAGAAAGTGGCTAAGGATGAGGATAAGCTAGTGACACAGCTCTTTAGGTGGGAACCCTGTCACATGTTGTCAGCTCCCTCCCTCTGCACAGCTCTGAGCTCAGAGAATGCCATATGACTGTGCCTGTCTCTTGCTGTTTTATATAAACCAGGAGCTCCTGGGGTGGGGGGGGTTCTAGACATACCCCACTCCCACTTCCTAGGGCACAAAGCACAAGAATAAACTGAAGCACAAAAGAGAAGTGGACAGAATGCATACAAATTATTTCCTGCATATGTAAAGTGTTCTTAGAAATTAGACAGGTAGTGGCACAAGCCTTTAATCCCAGTACTTGGGAGGCAGAGGCCGGTAGATCTCTGAGTACAAGGCCATCCTGGTCTACAAAGTGAGTTCCAGCCAGGGCTACACAGAGAAATGCTGTCTTGAAAAAACAAATAAAAAATTTTAAAAAAACAAAGAAAAAGAAATCACTAACCCCAAGGCACTAATGGGAAATAGGAAAGCAACGACAAGTGTCTGGAGGGATAAGAAGGAAGGGTTTTGTGCAGTACCTGTGCCCTTCTTGCAGACATAGGGGAGGTTGTAGTTGCAGGGGACATCATTCCAGCGCCCACTCTCATGTGCCACCATCACCACACAATCCTCTCCGCCAGCAAAGAAATTATCTGGCTGATTCTCCCTCCAGTTCTCATATTGCTTTGGAAAAAGAGAGCTGAGGTTACCTTGGTGCCTGTGTGCCAGCGTCCCAGCTCCTGGCACTTCCTGCATGATTCCTGTGGCCAGACCCTCCATCAGGAGAATTGATGCCCCCCTCTCTACAACAGGCACTGACCATCACCAGGACACCCCTTCTCTATCTGGGAGGCTGCAACATCCTTTACATTTTTCCTGCCTCTTTTATCCACCCCTGACATCCCATAAGCATCAGCATTAGGTAAAGAGTTGAAAACTGCTGACTCCAGCTTGGAAGTACAGGGGAGCTTCCATCAGGAACAGCAAGAAGCACTAAAGCAGAGAGCAGGGAACAGAGTCCCAAGCACAGGGTACATCATGTGCAAAGGCCCAGGGGCAGGGGGCAGTCAATGTCGGGTGGGCTGCTTGTTGGCAGAGACTGGGCAGGCCAGATCTCATGGGCAACAAAAGGACAAGGATATTTTACTAATTGTGGTAGTGTATATATGCCATGAAACTTGGTTTTAAAGGTATTTTTATTATAGCACTGCATGGTGGCTCAAACTTTCTGTAACTCCACTTCTCCTGGCCTCTAGAGGCCCTGCATGTACATGGTGCACAGACATACATACAGGTAAAACACTCCTACACATTAAATAAATAAGGAAATAAAAATTTACAAGAATTTGTTTACTTGAGCCAGGCATGGTAGCACACACTTTAAATCTCAGCACTCGGGAAGCAGAGGCAGGCAAATCTCAGTGAGTTTGAGGCCATCCTGGTCCACAAGGAGAGTTCCAGGACATCCTAGGTTACATACTTACTCAACACATACATACATACTCAAAAACTCAAAAACGGACTTATTTCAGAGGAGGCCACACATAGCATGTGCCTTTGGAAGTCAGAGGACACCTTTGGAAGCCTCTTATTTTCTTTGATCTTCAGGGATCAAACTCAGGTTATCTGGCATGGCAACAAGCTCCTGTCTGCTGTGCCAACCCCATGGTGAACTGTTTTAAAGCCGTGGCTCATGGTGTTACTCCCATCTTTGTGTTGTGTAACCATCACTACTGCATCTATTTCCAGAAATTTTCATCACGACAAACCAAAAGTCTACACCAATCAAGGAAAAAAAAAAAAAAAATCCTGGCTCTGACTGCCAGAGTTCCAGCACACACATGCCTCCTTTCCTGGCTCTTTTTGCAGTCAGGCATTGATGACTTTAACTTGTTGCTTAGTTTACTGATGCTCTTTGAGATGGGATCTCAAGTGTGTAACAGTGACTGGTCTACAACTCACTTGTAGCCCTGACTAAAGCTTCAGCTTGCAATGATCCTCCTGCCTCAGCCTCCCAAGTGCTGGGGTGTCAGACAAGCACAATAGCCACATTACTTCGATGGTATCATTCCTTCATATTTTACAGTGTTGGGATGGAACCAGATGTAAGCCAGACTGAGCCACGCCCCCAGGTCCTCACTGGGGGAATTCTAGGCAGGGGCTCCACCCCTAAGCCATGTCCCCAGCCTGTCCCTGGAGGATCCTAGACAGAACTCTTCTGCCAAGCCACACCCCAGAGCTTCTGAGGATTTGATGCCCACCAGTGGTTGCTTCACCTGAGAATAAACTGGGGCCATTGGGCAGGGTCACTGAGGTTCAGCAGCCTGAGGACAGGGACCTGACACTCACCAGTCCTGTGTTGTCTGTCCACTGGAAGTCCCTCTCCACTGTCCTGTCATTCAGGCCAATCCATGAGTTCTCATGTCCAAAGCCTGTTGGAAGGGAAGTCTATGAGAGTGTGCTACAACCCAGGGTTGAAGGAGAAGAGATGATGTCCAGGGGCCTTCTCTTTGCCAGCCTAGAGGAGGCTGCAGGAAGGGTGAGTGAACAGGTGAGAGAGAACACAGTGGACAGCAAGGAAGGAGATGAAAAGGAAGCCTGGGCCGGTGAGTCTGGAGACCAGAGTGTGAGGGGCATGGCTGGGAAGGAAGGACCAGAAGTTGGGGGTTGGATGGGAGGGAATTAGGAGGAATGAAGGTGTTCTAGACTTAGGGAGATGAGTGGGAAGGAGGTGGTCATAGAGGACAGATATCCCTATCCCTAGCCACATGCAGTTTCTATGGGTTCAGGGTGCTGTGGAAGGGAAAGCCTCAATTTCCCCTAGCCTGGAGGGGGGCTTTGGAGTGCTGTAGTGAATGGGGCCTTACAGAGGGTAGAGCCTTGTGCAGCCATGTGAGGGAAGGGGAACCGGGCAGCTAGAAAGCACATATGTAGCACAGGAGAGAGCAGGCACAGCCCAGGTCAGCTCTTCCTGGAAAGGCTGGAGTGGGAACACTGGGCAGTGCTCCCTGGGGCAGGAGGGACAGAGCAGAGAGAAACCAGAACCAGAAGCAGGTTCAGACCATAGACAGTGAGACAGGGCTGACACAGTGAACAGGGAGAGAATCCACAGGTGCCAGATACACACCATGTGAAGAAATGCATAATGAGTGCCACTTCCAATTCATGCCACTCTCTGCAGTGACCCAGATGTCTCCAAGTTCCATCCCCTAGCTCTATTTTATATGTCAATTCCTACAGTGTTAAAAATAAAGCTGGGGTGGCATCAGATTACTTTAATCCCAGCACTTGGAAGGCAGAGGCAGGCAGAGCTGTCACAAAAAAACAAATAATAATAATGATGATATGAAATAATACAATAAAGCACAGAATTAATCCAAGCACATTACTTAGACATGTGCTCGATGGTCAAACTCCTCAGCCCCTTATGAGTGTCACTTTCTAGTGACACACTTGTCTCACTGCATTCTCAGGGCCAGACAAGAGTGGGGAAGACAACAGGTATGCAGATAGCATTCAGGGAGCAGCAGTGACTCAGAACTCAACAGAAGTGACCTGTCAAGGAAGTGCCAGTGAGCTTGTGAGGTCCTGTCTCCATGACTTCCGGGTAGCTCATTGATGAAGATGCATGCTCCATCAAGCCTGGTTTTGTGACCCCCAGCTAAGACCCCTAGCAAAAGTTTAATCAGTTTAGCGACTACCCTAATTGTCCTCATAGAACCTTTACCCAGTATCTGATGGGAGCAGATGCAGAGAACCACAGCTAAGCACTGGGCTGAGCTCCAGGAATCCAGTTGAAGAGTGGAAGGAGGGATCATGTGAACAAGGGAGGTCAAGAACAAGCAACATAAAGCAACAACAAGTAAAAGATCTATATAATAAGAACTTTGTGACTCTAAAGAAAGAAATTAAAGAAGATACCAGAAAATGGAAAGACCTCCCATGCTCTTGGATAGGTAGGATAAACATAGTAAAAATGGCAATCTTACCAAAAGCAATCTACAGATTCAATGCAATCCCCATTAAAATCCCACCACAATTCTTCACCGACCTTGAAAGGATAATAATCAACTTTATATGGAAAAACAAAAGACCCAGGATAGCCAAAACAACCCTATACAATAAAAGAACATCAGGAGGCATCACCATTCCTGACTTTAAGCTCTACTACAGAGCTATAGTTCTGAAAACAGCCTGGTATTGGCATAAAAATAGACAGGTAGACCAATGGAATCGAATTGAAAATCCTGATATTAATCCACGCACCTATGAACACCTGATTTTCGACAAAACAGCTAAAATTATACAATGGGGCAAAGACAGCATCTTCAACAAATGGTGCTGGCACAATTGGATGAGGGTGTGTAGAAGACTGCAGATAGACCCATGTCTGTCGCCATGCACAAAACTCAAGTCCAAATGGATCAAAGACCTCAATATCAATCCAGCCACATTGAACCTCTTAGAAGAGAAAGTAGGAGGTACCCTTGAACAAATTGGTATAGGAGACCGCTTCTTGAACATAACTCCAGGGGCACAGACACTGAAAGAAACAATTAATAAATGGGACCTCTTCAAACTTAGAAGCTTCTGTAAGGCAAAGGACACAGTTGACAAGACCAAACGGCAGCCCACTGACTGGGAAAAGATTTTCACTAATCCTATATCCGACAAAGGGCTGATCTCCAAAATATACAAAGAACTCAAGAAACTAGTCAACAAAACACCAAATAACCCTATTAAAAAATGGGGTACAGAACTGAAGAAAGAATTCTCAATGGAGGAAATCAAAAAGGCTGAAAGACACTTAAGAAAATGCTCCACATCCTTAGCTATCAGGGAAATGCAAATCAAAACAACTTTGAGATACCATCTTACCCCTGCCAGAATGGCTAAAATTAGAAACACCAGTGATGACTTATGTTGGAGAGGATGTGGAGAAAGTGGAACACTCCTCCACTGCTGGTGGGAGTGCAAACTCATACAGCCACTTTGGAGATCAGTATGGCGGTTCCTCGGGAAAATGGGAATTAGTTTACCACAGGACCCGGCAATCCCCCTCTTAGGCATATACCCAAAGGATTCACATCAATGCAACAAAGACATCTGTTCAACTATGTTCATAGCAGCACTATTTGTAATAGCAAGAACCTGGAAGCAACCTAGATGCCCTTCAATTGAAGAATGGTTAATGAAGATGTGGCACATCTACACAATGGAATACTACTCTGCAGAAAAAAATAATGGTATCTTGAAATTCGCAGGCAAGTGGATGGCACTTGAAGAAACCATCCTGAATGAGGTAACCCAGTCACAAAAAGAGGAACACAGTATGTACTCACTCATATATGGATTTTAGACCTAGATCAAATGATCACCAGCCTATAATTCACATCACCAGAGGAACTAGGATACAAGTTGTATTCTAAGAGATTCATATAAAGTCCCTCACAGAACTGGGAAGGGACAAGTCCCCCAGACCTCAGGTATAGTGGGGGAGGACAGCTAATGGAGAGAGAAGTAGGAGAAAATGAGAGGGAGGAGAGGAAGGCATGTGCGACCAGGAGGATTGAGCCTGGTTAGGAATGGAAAATAGGAAAGAGAGAGAGAGACAGAGACAGAGAGAGAGAACATAAAAGAGGGAGCCAATATTGGTTTGAAGATAAAGTTGAACACAAAGAAAGGTCGAGGGAACTACAAGACTGCTCCCAACTAACAATCTCAGCTTCCGTGGAAAGGCTATCATAAATGCCCTTCCCGGAGAGTGAGATCAACAACTAACTTCTCCATGGAGTCCTCAACTAATGCCTGTTGAAAACAGGAGCAAACACCCATACATAAACACTGAGTCAAACTAGAACCCAGAAGCAGATGGAGAGGACAAGACCATGCGGTAGAAGTACATAGAGACAGCTTACCTGAACAAGGAGGAGCTAAGGGCCACTAGACTGATAGCTGGGAAGCCAACAGGGGTCTGACTCGGACCCCCCTGAATATGGGTCTCAGCCAGAAGGTCTGAGCAGCCTAAGAGACCTCAGACAGTGGAGCCAGGATGTATCCCTGGTGCACAAAAGGACTTTGCAAACATATCCCCCATGGAGGGATAACTGCCTTATTCTAGAGATAGGAGAGAAGCCCTAGTCCCTACTTCACAGGACCTGTCAGATCTACATGACCCCAACTGGATGGCATTCCCCTACATATTGTATTGTGGTGGGGGGTTGGGAGGGGAGGGTGTTTAGAGTGCATGGGAGAGGGTAGAGAGGGCAAAAGGGAGGGAAGGAGGGAAGGAGGGCTTGGGGGGAGGGAGGGAGGGAGGGAGAGGGAACTGGGATCGACATGTAAAATAAAAAAAAAAAAAAAAAAAAAAAACGCTTTGACTCCAAAATTTAAGTTGAAGAACAAGTTACTGGGGAAAAGTATTTCTATTTTTGTTTCCACAGAAAATGAAAAGATGTGGATTCCTTCCAGACTAATGTGGTTTGATCACACCAGACCGCCTGAAACAGAGTACAAGCTGATCCTACATTCCAAACAGCTGGACAAAACAGCCCTACAGACTACAGCTAGGATATCTGAATCTTCTTCGAATCCCCCAAGACAGCGCCCCTTACCAGCAGGAAGTAGTTTGGAAAGAACGACGCCCAAATTCCCAAATATTGTGTATAAATGTTTGTTTTCATTTAATTGGACTTTGTTATATAAAATTAAATAAAAAATACTCTATATGCATTAAAAAAAAAAAAAGAACACGATGGGGAAACCCACAGAAACAGCTGACCTGAGCTAGTGGGAGCTCACTGATTCTGGACTGACAGTTGGGGAACCTGCATAGGACTGAACTAGACCCTCTGAATATGGCTTGATCTGTTGTGAGGGAGCCCTGGCAGTGGGACTAGGACCTATCTGAAGTGCATGAACTGGCTTTTTGGAGCCCATTCCCTATGGCGGGATACTTTGCTCAGACTTGATACAGAGGGGAGGGGCTTGATCCTGCCTCAACTTGGTATGCCAGACTTTGTTGACTCCCCAAAGATGGCCTTACTTGCTCTGAGGAGTGGACAGGGTGTGGGGAGGAGATGAAGGGAAGGGACAGGGAATTGGGGGTGGTATGTAAAATGAAAATGTTGAAAAAAAAAAAAAGAAAGAAAGAAAAAGAAACAAGCTCTACCGACAGCTCAAGGAACTGTCCCTACCATTAATGAACTTGTGCTCCTCTGGTGAGTGAACACTTGTCAGGTGGCCAGCCCGGCGCCTGCAGTCTCTTTCTGCATCCTCCCAGGCCCGCCGCCGGGCAAAGTACCGGTAGCAGTGACCCTGGAATTTGTGCCAGCCATGGTCACAGCCTTCTGTGTCTGGAAGGTGGGACAGGAATGTAAGGAGAACTGATTCTGCCCTAGGCTACAAAACACATGATGCCCAGACATACATGCAGCCACAACAACCACACACACACACACACACACAAAATAGATTACTTAAAAATTTTTAAATTAAAAAAATAGGGCCAGCAAGATACTTCAGTAGACAAGGGTGCTTGCTACCAAGTCTGGGGAGCAGACTATCATGATGAAAGAAGAGAAGCCGTGAAGTCTTCTTGACCTCTGCACACATGCATGGCATGCAAATGTCCTACACCATGCACATACACACATTACATGTTTTTAAAATGTAACTTAATTTTTTGGGGGGGGTTTTGAGACAGGGTTTCTCTGTGTAGCTCTGTAGACCAGGCTGGCCTTGAACTCACGGAGATACACCTGTCTGCCTCCCGAGAGCTGGGATTAAAAGCATACACCACCACTGCCCAGCTATAATGATTAACTATATAAAATAAATAATAGGATGAAACTAATTTACACCCTATGGGTCTCAGTGTCAGGGGCAAGAACTCACCCTTCTCACACAGGCTGCCTGCGTAGCTGGGAAGGCAGAGGCAGACGAAGCCATTCACCTCATCAATGCATGTGCCTCCGTTCTCACAGGGGCTGCACAGGCAGTCATCTATGTCTTCAAGAATGGGACAGATAGAAGTCAGAGGTCAGCCTCCAATCACAGCCCAGCCTACAGGTAGAATATGGGTCAAGATCCTTCTAGCCAATCCCAAGAACACCCTTAGGGATGGTACAATGGCTCTGCAGCCATGAGGACAGGCTTTGAGGAATGACCACTAACAAGTACGAATAGCAGCAGGTGTCACCAGACAGAAGAGTGCATTTAGGGATACTGCAACCTTAAAGTTGTTTCCTTTGCACACTGAAAAGGGCCCCCGAGCATCAATGAACCTGACAATTAAATTAACCTGTATCACCTAACACACACAAACACACACACAGACACACACACACCCGAATCCACATATCTGTGCAAGGCCATCTTGAGTGTTGGAGTTTTAAAAAACAACATTTTAAAAGAGATATTTATTTTGGTTTTTATTAGTATTTACTTACTTATTTTGAGAAATAGGCTCTCTATCTGTCTATGCAGCCTTGGTTGTCCTGGAACTCTCTCTCTGTAGACCAGGCTGGCCTTAAACTCACAGAGATCTGCATGCCTCTGCCTCCCGAGTGCTGGGATTAAAGGTGTGTGCCACTATGTCTGGTCCTCATTTGTGTTTTCAGTTATTATTCTTTTATGATTCTATAATTTCTAGTGTGGTTATGAAGTCAAGCAAAGGATGCATAGTGATCAATGAATTACACCATAGGGCCTGAAGAGATGGCTACTCTTCCAGAGGACCTGGGATCAAATTCCAGCACCCACATGGTAGCTCATAACCATCTTAAGTCCAGTTGCCTTCTTTTGGCCTCTGCAGGCAATGCACACAAATGGTGCCACAGACATACATACAAGCAAAACACACACACACACACACACACACACACACACACACACACACACTAAATAAATCTTTAAAAAAGAAATGACACCATTTATATTTAATGCTGTAATCTCACATTTAGCAATATGAGTTACACCCACACTGTTGTCCACCTAGATGAGGGTAGTCTCCCAGAGGCCTCTGTTTGCTGGGGATCATCTTAACTTTTTGCTTTCCCCTCTTAACCTGTAATGATCATGGTGGGAAATGGCTCTCCTGAGCTACAGCCCCCTAGCTAACTAGTTTGGGCTCAGCTAATTTTGGTTGATTCTTCTGTACTCAAAGCACAAGGGACAGGACAGTCCTCTGGGCTGAGATACTCACCAATCTCACAATTCTCCCCCCCATAGCCCTGATCACAGCTACAGCCATACATGGTGCCATTGGTGTGACAGGTGCCTCCGTGCAGACAAGGGTTGTTATCGCAGGGATCTGTGGGGTCTGTGGGATAGACAAGCAGTGTTCAGATGGATTGGCCACCATGTCATCTTTCATGGAATCCAGAAATTAGTCCTTGTCTGTGAAGTTCCCTCCATTATCTCCCCAATGAACAATGGCTCACACATTTTGCGTTGGGATCTTACCACTTCTGAGAATTGCATCACAGCATCTGTGGGGTGCCCTACTCACAGCAAAGTCCTCTCTCAGGTCATACTAGACTCACCAATCTAATGAGTTTACCCAGGGACCAAAGACAAGTTACAGGAGTTAATTCTCTGTCATCATGTGGGTCTTGGGGCTTGAACTCACATCCTCAGGTTTGGCAGTAGGCAACTTTACCACTAACCCTGGTCACTTACTTGCCCTGCCAGGTTACTTCTGTACTTACTGGTTCTCTCTCTCTCTCTTTCTCTCTCTCTCTCAATGGCTCTTTCTCTCTCTGCCTCTCTCTCTCTCTCTCTCTCTCTGCCTCTCTCTGTTTCTGAGAGCAGTGACATTCCATATGGCAGCACATACCTCATTCACGCTTAAATTAATTAGAATGAGAAGATGCATGCAGTTCTATGACCCACATGTCAGTTTGACCACTCAGAGAAATTGAGCTTGCAAGACCAAGAACACGGCAGGTACACAAACACTGCTGGCTCACTGAACAGTGGGGGCAGCTAGCTGTCCTGCAGTATGTAGCTGAGACATCTGTCTCTGGGGCAGTGACAATGGGAAATAGGGGGGTCTGGTCTGTGTGATGTGCTGCTGAAGTCCCAGTCCTGTGCAAGCTTGTCTGGGACAGAGGGTGACATGCAACACTTGACAGGCACCTGCCCACGGTTGGCACTGACTCAGCTGAGCTGGTGTATTTTTTAGGGACCCACCTCCCCACAGCCTCTGACAGCCCAGGCTGCACTCACCATGTCACACCACCTGCACTCGACATCTAGCAGGCTAGTGCTGGAGACAAAGGCTCCTCTTCCTTCCCCTCTCTTATTTTCGTCCTCTATTCCTTCCCTCCTTCCTGCCTCCCTTCTTACCCATTGTATCCAGCTGAGGCTGACTTCTGACCCATGCCTTTATCTTTCCAGTCCTGGGATGGCAGATATGTGCCAAGCCCAACTCACAAACTCTAGTTTTTGGATTAGTTGTCCCACCACCAGCTGCAGCTGTGTAAACACACTAAGTGCTCAGATATCCCATGCCTCAGTCTCCCCTCAAAGAAATTGAGAACCACATAAGAGCTTGTCCCATGAGATGTTACAAAGTTGAACCCATCTAGCTGCAAATGGGGGAACACAGTCCTGTGATCCTCACATTCAGGAGGCTGAGGCAAAAGGGTTGGTGAGATCTCTAGGCCAGCCTGGGCTACAGAGTGAGATCCTGTCTAAAACAAAAGAGGGTATTCTGGGGATACGGCTCAGACCTGAGTTCAATACCCTGTATCTACTTCAAAAAAGCTGGGTGTGGCTGGGCAAGGTAGCACATGTTTTTAATCCAGGCACTCGGGAAGCAGAGGCAGAGGGATCTCTGTGAATTAGAGGCCAACCTGATTGATCTACATAGCAAGTTCCAGGCCAGCCAGTGCTACAAAGTGAGATCCTGTCTCAAAGTGGGAGGTGCCTGGAGAGATGGTAGAGCAGTTCACTTTTCTTAGGTGTCTGATTTCCAGTATGCACATGGTAGTTCTTAGTCATTGGAGCTCTGGTTCTAAGGAATCCCATGGGCAATCGGCACATATTCAGTGCACATACATGCAGGCAAAACCCTCATAAGTGTGTGCCCGCTGTCTCAGCTCTGGGGAAATGGAGACAGAGCTCACTGACAAGCCAATCTAGCTTGATTGGCAAGTTCATAGTCCGGTAAGAGAAGCTGTGGTTCAGCAGGTGAAGATACTTAATGCTAAGACTGATGATCTGAGTTTGATTCCTGGAGCCCACGTGGTGGAAGGAGGGAACCCAGTCACAAAATTGTCCCCTGCCTTTCACAAGAGTGCCACAGCATGCATATATTCATTCACATGCATGCATGCACATTAAATGAAGGCAATTAAAAATTAAATAAGATGAACAGTGCCTGAGAATAGATGCCTCTGGACATGCATATGTTCATATGTGTACATACACACAAGTGCATTTGCATGCACATAATAAAAATAAATGAATTTTAAAAATCAAGCTGGGCCCTCTTTAGGCTCATTGATTTAAATGCTTAGTCACCAGGAAGTGTCACTGCTTGAGAAGAAAGAGAAGGTGTGTCCCTGGGGATGGGCTTTGAGGTTGTAAAATGCCCATCACAGGCCCAGTTCTCTTCTCTCTGCCTGCATACCAGGATGCAGCACAGTTACTGCTCCCGCATTTATCTGTGCTGCCATGATGATCACAGACTAACTCTCCTAAACTGTAAACAAGCCCAATCAAATGCTTCCTTTTATATGAGTTGCCTTCACAGCTGTAAGACAGTGACTGAGACACTGGATATGATGGCATACACCTGCTATTCCAGCATTCAGAAAACTAAGGCAGGAGAATTGCCAACAGTTCAAGGCCATCCAAGGTTTCACAGTGGCAAAGCAGGCAGTGTTGGTGTCAACGAGCCTGCTCCCACCTCTAGCTCTTTTCACAGCTCCAACCCCTACCATCTCCATGATTGAGTCAATCCAGCTCTGATTCCTGCCCATGCTAGGTACTGCTTGAACCATATCCTCTCCTTTCTACCCTGCCTGAGTTGCAACCAGATCCAGCTGTCTTCCACTAACGTCAAAATTGCTGAAGGCAGGCCCCCAGCATCACACTGCCCTGTTCCTCAAGGGTATTTGGAAAACCAAGTCCCCCAAATCCAATCCCCCAGTGACTCATAGAGCCCATGCTTTGTTCAATAACCACATTCTCTGAGTGTTACAAGTGTCCAGTGTTAGCCAGACAAGGTGATGAAAAATACTTTTAGTCCCAGCACTGGGGAGGAAGAAGCAGATGCATTTCTGTGAGCTCAAGGCCATAGCTACATAGCCAATTCCATACAAGCAAGTGCTACATAGAGAGACCCTGTCCAAACAATAGCACAACACAACCAGAAAGGCCTCCCGACCTCTAGCATCAATCTCTGTTAGAAAATTCCAATCCCCCCAGGGCATTTTCCCTGCTCTAGGAACCCCCCAGCCTTCAGTTCCAAGGTCCTGAACACACTAGGACAGATGGAGAAGCCAGAACTTACCCTCCTGCCCGCTGGCCATCTCTTCCCAGAAGCCCTTCAATTCTGGACTCCCAGGTACAACATTCAGGCCTGATTCATCTAAGCCCAAGGACATAGGTATTAGGGTGCTGGGGGTGTCCCACAGCCCATTGGGCTCCCCTGAGGAAATTGAGGCTACTTCATCCATGCTTGAGGCCAGGGATGACCATGGATGAGAGGGCAGGCTGGTGTGAGGCCCTGGTAACCCCTGGGCCACCATCTGGTCCTCTGCTTCTGGATGGTCTTGGGAGCTTGTGGAGGTCAGTATGGACACACCCTGGGCCCCAGCCATGGTCTCTTGGCCCATGCTTGGACTTACAGTCACATGGATTCTAGAAATAGAACTTTTGGATTGAGACCCCCAAGTGGCATCAGCATCTCCAGGAACTAGCTCCACGGTGGCCTTCATAGGGTCCTCTGTGGCACCTCCCTCCAAAGCCATTGTAGGCTTTACACTCACGGTGACTCCAGGGCCTCCCAATGGTGAGGACTGGGAACCAGAGTCCAGTTCTTGGCTGGGCAGCGGTATCCAAGTGCCCACAGTGGCCTGTCCACTGGATGTAGGACTCCCTGATACATCCAAGACCCCAGAGTCAGTCCCTAGGATGCCAACATCAGAGGTGACAGGATTGATAGTCACATTACTGGAGTCCAAGGACTCCCATGGGCCAGAGCTGGGGTGCTCGGTAGCCTGTGCGGAGCTGACCCCCCTGATTTCTCTAGAATCTGCTGCAGGGGATTTATGGCTGGCTTCAACTGGGGCATCCATAGTGGTCTGAGGTGGGGTTTCAAGGCCTCCTGCTCCAGGGCTGATGGGCCTGGCACTGGTCATAGCTCCATCTTGTTCTGGGTGCCAGGAAGGGAGTGGAGAAGCTGGGGAGGGTGTAATGGGGATCACACTGGGGATGAATGTGGAGTGTGGCAAAAGCCACAGTTTGGGGGCCCGAAGCATGGCTACAATGGGGAAGTCTGGAGAGATGTCACCAGGGGGTGCCTCATGGAAGACAACACTTGGGGCCTTTGAGGGCCTGGAGGGAGGAACAGAGGGCTCTGAGGGAGACCAGGGAAGGTGGTGGATGGTTGATTTTATACTGGGGGCTTCAGCTGTTCCTGGCTTCAGGCCAGGGACACTGTCAGGGCTTGTGACGATAGGTGAGATGAAAGACGGGGACCACATCCAGGACTCTGGGGGACTCCTGCTGCCAAGAGAACCTGTGACATCAAAAACGTTACAGTTAGCAGGGCCTGGTGATGGACACTTATGATCTCAGCATTTGGGAGGCTGAGGGAGGAGGGTGAGGACAGTCAGAAACATGTTTAGCAGGTGTGGCAAGCAAGCCTGCTGCATGCAATTAGGAGGCAGAAGGACCTGGGCTTCAGAGTCATCCTTGGATACATGGAGGTTAGAGGCCAGCCTGGGCTATGTAAGTTGTCTTAACATCTCCTCCCCGGCAAATAAACAATAAAAGCCAGTGTATCAGCACATCCCCGTCGTCTTAGTGCTTGAGAGACTAAGGCAGGAGGATTACTTTGAGTTCCAGGCCAGCCTTGGATACAGGGTGAGACTCTGCCTCAAAACATAAAACTCATGTAACATGTTTGCTATGAAGACAAGAACACCTGAGTTCGGATCCTCAACATCACAGTCTAATCTTTAAACTCCAATTCAGGGGAAGGGGAAAGGGGAATGGAGACAGGTAGCTTTCCAATACACCCAAAGAGGAAGCCCAGGCTTAGTGAGAGACCCTGTCTCAAAAACTAGGTGGAAGGCCATAAAGGAAGGCACTTGAAGTTCACCACTGATCTCCATTAGCTTCTGTGCACACACCCACACTCAAACACACATACACTCACAAACCATACACACACACTCACTCACATACCACAATACACACTTGTACACACTTCCACCATATACACACATCACTCACACTTCACACACACTTATATAAACACACACACACATACACACACACAATGAGGATTTGGAGGTAGGTCTATAGGCAAGGTTGGGGGTGCTGCAACAATGTTATGTCTGTACTCAACCTTTCTTTCTCCCTAGGTCACTCACCTGCCCTTGGCACGTCCACTTCATTGGTGAGAATGGCCCAGGGACTGTGACTGCGGCTCTGCTCACTCTCTGAGACCTCTGTGACTGCAGAAAGCCCCTGGAGGTCAGCTGTAACTTCCAGAGTGGGAGTCTGGGGACTGGCTTCTGCTGTCACAAGCAACTGGCTGTCTGGCCCTTGTTGCTGGAAATGTCTACCATTTAACCCTTTGAGGCGGCCCCTCCTTGCTGTGGGGGTAGAGGCTACCTGTGTGTCCAAGGGTATTGTCTCTGCCATATCAACTCCCATGCTCCTGGGGCTGGGGACACCTGTGGAGCTTGTGGCACCTGTAAGCAGCCATGAAGCCAGGGTAGGGCCCCCTGGGATAGAGCCAAAGGACTTCTGAGGCTCTTGTGTCCATGTGGAATCCAGGTGTTCATCTTCTCCACTAGACACAAGAGGATCCTGAAGGTTGGATGCTGCCTCTTTCTCCTCCCCTAGCCTGGGCTTTAGTTCTTGGGCTTGTGCCGACACAATCTCCCCCTCATCTCCAGAAAAGAGGGTCTCTGAGTCTCTGTGTTGTGGTGTAAGATGATGAGCTATAGAAAAAGCAAAAGTGGTTGAAGTGGCACAGGCACAGCCAGGAAAGTGCCTATGGTGTGAAGCCCGGCCCAAGGCTGGATTTCTAGCCATAAGATGTCTTGGGAAAATAGAGCCCATGGGAAGAATACAACCTTCTCTAGAGCCCCACCCACTAGTGCTGTGTCTTCTTGTCTGTCTGTAGCCCAGGCTAACCTGGAAAATCAATCTATATCCCAAGCTTGCTTCAAACTCACAGAGATCCTCCTGTCTCAGCCTTTCAAATGCTGGGTGATACAACAGTAATCCAGCAGTAGCCTCATCAGAGGAAAGACCCATCTCAGAGGCAGAGACTCTCCCCTAGAGGGTGTGGCTTGTCACAGGGTTTCCATGGAGATGTGGGCATGCAAATGATTTTATTACTTTGTTTCTACCTTTTTGAGTCAGGATCTCATGCAGCCCAGGGCTTGAACTGATTAGGTAGCCCAGGATGATCTTAACATTTCTGATTCTTTTGCCTTTTCATCCCAGGCCCTCACACCTGCCTGATGGGGACAGGATTCAGGGTGTTGTGCTTACAAGGTAAGCACTCTCTTAGCTGAGCCACAGCCACAGCCCAAGAGCAATATAAAGGAAAGCTTCTAGGCATAATGGCCAAAGAACTGAATCCAGCACTTGGGGTGGGGGTGGGCAGAGGCAGGTGCATCCCTGTGAGTTTAAGATAAGCCTGGTCTACATAAGGAGTTCCAAGCCAGTCAAAACAAAACAAAAAAATAAATGAAAGCTGGTAGGGGTGTGACCTTCACTAGCCTGTCTCTAGAAGCATCTCAGCAGGAGACACAGCCATGGTGCATGTCCATAATCAATAGTCCTGGTAGGGTTATGGGATGTGGCCCCCACCAATGATTCTGACTTGAGAGCTTCACCTACTCCTGACTGGGTTCAAGGAAATATACTAGTGGCATGTGGTTTGTTCCACCCAATGCAAATGATGGGACACACCTATAGAGGCGTGGTTTTCACTATGTACTTTCAGGTCTCTCTCTCTGTGTGTGTGTGTGTGTGTGTGTGTGTGTGTGTGTGTGTGTGTGTGTGTGTGATCTCGAGGGGACCAACCCATGGGATGTGGCCATAACCAAACTTTGCTGGAGGGTCTGTCATTCTAAGGGAACACACCAACGATACTCAACAAAGAGCTGCAGATGTTGTCTTGGGTTTGTATAGTCAGGCAGGGACACCACCTGGTGCATGGCTTAGACACTCCCAACTGGAGACTGGTCTGGATGACTCATATCCATGAAAGGTGGCCCCAGACAATGGCTCTTGTGAGTATGATCTGCAGCTCCACCCTCTGGAGCGGGGTGGGCGGGGGCATATTGAAACGCACCTCTGAAGCAATAAGCATCGAAGCGTGATCCGGGTGCAGGGAAGCCCGTGCGGTTAGCGAAGCGGTATACTGTGCGCACACCCGGGGCAGGGCCCCCACAACGCCGGCGAGGTGTCTGGATTGGGTAGCGCACACTACCGTCTGCCAACCAGCCTGGATCGCATTGGTCCAGGCCCTCGTGCCAGGCCAGGTGCAACTGTCCCACCGAGGCCAACGCAGCACCCTGGCGCTGACATTGTGCCCGTGCACCGGCCAGGGTCAGTCGGCGAGCAGGGCCCACGTAGAAGACCTCGCCTAGGAGAGGAACAGGATGGAGGTCAGAAAGGGGTGGGAGGAAGAGAGATGCTCAGAAGTAAGGATGGGAAGCTCAAGGGACAGATAGCCCAGGTCTTGGCTCCAGCTTTGGAGAACTTTGAGGGAACTTAGAGGGAATTGGGGGATAGAAGATCATCTGACATTCGTGTGCAACTTTGGAGGGAGGGCACTGAGACTTGCAGAGATTCAAGTGGGCTTGGGGAAATACGGGGATTGGGACAGCACCTGACACTCAAGGACAGGTGGCAATGGGGTCCCAGCCGCACTTGCCTTACCCCCTAGCTCGCGTGCAAAACAGTAGACATCGTAGAGTTCCTGTGGGTCGCGTCTGCCATAGCTCCGAACCCCGGGCAGACTGCTGCGGTCACCATAGCAACCAGGACGCGACTGAGTGATCGGATACCTGATGGTACGAGGGGAGTGGCTATCAGATGTATGGCTCAGGGAGCCCCCTCCTCCAGAAGCGACCCCCAATCCCATGTCTTCCGCGCACCCCCTCACCGAACCGTGCGGTCTGAGAGCCAGCCCGCGTCGCAGTTGTCAAAGCCGTCTTCAAATGCAGCCTGCAGGTGCCGTGGGGCAGCGATGGTGGCGGAGCTCAGGCGGCAGGCATCCTGTGCCTCAGCGAAGGTCAGCGCATAACGGTCCCGGGCTGCCCGGTAGTGGAAGACAACGCCTGTGGGGCCGGAGAGAGCGTCATGGTGGAATCTTAGAGAGCGGACCTGTTCGGTGCAGACTTTTTTAAAGACAGGGTCTCATCGGGCTTGGTGGCACATGCTCTTAAACCCACCACTCGGGAGGCAGGGGCAGGTGGATCTCTGAATTCTAGGCCACCCTGATTGCTACAGAGTTCCAGGAAAGCCAGTGCTACACAGTGAGACTGTCTCAAAACGAACAATGAAGTGCGCGTGCGCGCGCGCACACACACACACACACACACACACACGAAATTTTCTCATGTAGCCCAGGCTGGCTTGAGACCCACAAAGCTCCATCCACCTCTGCTTCTGGCTTCACCACCAGGCCCAGAGCCCATTTGGTTTTTCTTAATCTGTTGGGAAAACACAGACTGCTACCCTGGAATTTAGCAGGAAAGCTGGGCAGACATTCTCAGGCAGTTTCTCCCTAAAGCACATGTTAACTGATGTTATAAGGATAGGCTCTTAAGATTTTTTTAATTGTATTATTTGGGTGGCGGTGACTCGAAAAAAGCCTCCCCAAAAAATCGTATTGGGGGATGGAGAGATGACTCTGTGGGTAAGAGTATTTTTGCTCTTCCAGAGGACTGAAGTTCAATTCCCAGCCCTCAGATGGTGGTTCACAACCACCTATAAGTACAATTCCATGGGACTCAGCTCCCTCTTCTGTTATCTGTGGCATCAGGGTCACACATGGTACACAATATATATGCAAAGCAACAATTCACATAAAATTAAAAAGTGTTTTTGTTTTGTTTCTGGAAACAGGGTTTTTCTATGTAATCCTGACTGTCATGGAACTTGCTCTGTAGACCAGGCTGGCCTTGAACTCACAGAGATCCACCTGCCTCCCAAGTGATGGGATTACCAACCACAGGATGACATAAAATGAACCCCAGTGTCTCGGTCTCAGACTTGGTCCTCTCCTCCCGATTTACCACCTCCCCTTCCATGTCACCCCTACCCTTCTATCCTAACTTGCCTTTCCACCCTCACTCCCATTCCATCCTAGCACCTTCCTCCCAGTCCTAATGCCCCTTTCATCTTCAGGGTCACCTCTTTCATGATTGGCCCTTCCACTTCGGTCTCAGCCCTTCCCCTTCTGTCTTAGCTCCTCCCCTTCTGCCTTCTTGGCTCCTCCCTGCTGTCTCCCTATCCCTTTACACCAACCCTTCCCCCCTCTATCCTTGGTTTCTTTCCTTTATATTTGGCCTCTTCCCCTTCCCCCTTGAACCCTCCCCTTCTGTCCTGGGTACCTTCCTCTCTATCCTCAGACCCTCTCTTTCCAGCTTCTGTTTCTTCCTTTGACTCTCCTCCTAGGATTTCCTGGCCCCTCTTCCCAGCCTCAACCCTTCCCCTTCATTCTAGGCCCCTCCCTGTTCACCTTTGGCCACGCCCATTACCTGCTGCTAACTCACCTGTCACCTCCAGGGTTATCAGGTCCTGCTCATCCTCAATACCCCTCACCACTTGGCAGCGATACAGCCCAGAGTCACTGGCCCGAAGCGGCCCCAGCAGGAGTGTAGCATTGGTTCTGTGCCGGGGGTAAGCAGGCAATGACACCCGACCCTGCCAGCCCTTGGCTACACGAACCACATTGTCCTTGGCCACCAGAATGGGCAAATCTTGTCGCTGGCCTGATGCAGTCCAAACCTTGGTCCATTTGATCCGAGGAATGTCTCGAAGGGTGCCTAGCAGTGGCTGCCAGGTAAAGAGGCAGGGCAGAGCCACCAGCTCTGCCAGGGCAGCACGGATGGGTCCTGACCCCGACTTCAGCATGTAAAGGCCCTTTTCTGTGGTGGTGGTGGTGTCCTGTGTGTCTGGATGGAAAGAGGACCTGAATCAGAGGCAAGGCCAGCAGGACAGTAACATTTCTTGCTTTGGAGAGTTATTTTTTCTTTCACTAACTCTTTGTTTCTCTTTTTGAGACAATCTATGTATTCCATCATGTACCTTGGTTGGCTTAGAACTCACCTCATAGACAAGACTGTCTCTGCTTCCCCAGTGCTGGGATTAAAGATGTTCACCATCACATTAAGCTTCATTAACACTTCCTTACAGAGAGATTAGGCCAGAGAAGCCAGGCTGCCCACTGTAATGAGATCTGTAGCCCACACAGTGTCACTGTGCAAAAAGGGCCTACTGGGCTGGACCACTCATGGTTCTGCCTCTTTCAGTAGAACTCCAAAGGCTTCTTATGTGGGTAAGCTATGGCTGTCATTATCATTGGCTTGTTGTGCAGCCCTTGGAAAGTTGCTTTCCATCTCTGAGCTTTGAAAGTTAAACCAGAGGCGGACATTGAAAGCAGTGTTTGTGGGGTAATTTCTTTCCTTTTTTGTTCTGGTTTCACACTGGGTCACCTGTAGCTCAGGCTGGCCTCAAACTTGCTATGTAGCCTAGGATGACCTTGCACTTCTGACCTTCCTGTTCTATTGGCCAAGTCCTGGGATTACAGGGGTACACCACTATTTCAGGCTAGCACAGTCAAGTTATTGAATTCCCAAAACTGTGGTGGCAATGGCTTGTCTTCTTTTAGGGGCATTGGGAAATTAAAAATCAGACAAATAAATATTCTTGATTGTGACCACAGTGAAATTCAGTAAGGGATTCATAAAGTCCAGATCTTGACCACCACTGGGGAAATCCCAGGGGAGGCACAGATCCTCCTTGCCTTGTCCCTCCCATGGCAGATGAGAGTAACCAATCCCTGTGCTATATTGTCAGTCTCTCAGCCACCTTTCTTTTTAGAGCTTTTCAGCAAAAGACAGTGAGAGGCAGGAACCTCCAGCTTCTGCTGGTTATGACTAAAAATAACCTTTCAGGTGTCTTATTCCCTTCTGACTGTTCAAAGACTGGTTTCAGCTATTCTTGACTTATTTTGTAGACCTAGCTAAAGTACCAGCAGAATGTTCTGGGATGAAAAAGCCTTATCCCATCCCGCTGACCCATGGCTAACTGTTAAGTGACAGGACTCACCCTACCCACCCCTACCCCCCCATCCTCCCACCCCCCCACCCGTGCCGGCCCCACTCACCCTGCTCTCCAGCCACTAGGAGCAGCAGCCTCAGCACCAGGAAGCCTGAAGCCCAGACAGATGTGGTCCCCATACTGGAGCTAGGAGCAAAGGAGAGGGAGGTAGGGCGAGTCATGGCATAGACACCTCCACAACCTTGAACACAAAGGAACCAGATGGCCCCAGCAAGATTAGGAACCACAACTCAGAAAGGCCCGCATGTCACTGAAGGTCACAGAGCAAGGGAAGCAGGAGGCCACTCAGGATTTGAATCCAGGCTTCTCATTTTAGAATTCAAGCAGTGAGGTGGGTGTGGCTTAGTGCTGGGACATTTGCTGATCTCACAAGGCCTGGGTTTTGACTCAGAACCTTCCAGGCTCACATATGCCTTGGGCTCTCTTCCCAGCCCTTACCACACTCCTGTGAGGCCCCCACTTGTAGCCTCTGACCCCTAGTCCACTGAACACATGTGAGGCTGGGGTTCTGGTCCTGCACATCACACCACGGGGGAAGAGGTGGCTCACACCTATGATCTCACACCTCAGCCCTGGAGGGATAGAGACAGAATCTGCACAGGTTTTGGCCAGTGTGATCTGCATAACAAGTTCTATGACTGTCTCTTTCTTCCTTGCTGTGTGACTTTAGCAAGGAGCTTAGCTTCTCTCTGCTTCCCCTTCCTTGTGGGTCATTTGAGAATAACAGCTGGCTGGAAGGGATGGATGAGTCAAATTATACATATCGTTTTCAGCAACTTGGCTTGAAGGAGAACATTTTAGCTGTGGCTAATATTATCATTAAACTTCACCCTACCAGTCTGAAACCATGCTTTTCATGTCACCATCAGATTAGGAGCTCGTGAGGGAAGCAATGAGTCCCAAGGCCCTCCCCCATCCCAATCTTCCCCCACAAAAGAAGCTTTCTCTGCCACAGGGCCATCCCCTCCAGAGGAGCCATGTCCCACCCAGCATATTGAGTGCCTGTGGGCAAGTTCTACCCTGAGTGCCTGAAATACATTCATTCCCTAGGGATTCTTCAACAAAACTTTGCCCCTCTCTCAACTCAGGCCCCTTACAGGGGCTCAAAGGGGACTGGAGAGGGGAAGTCAGAGGGCCACTGGCCCTTCAGTCTATCAAAGTAGAGCAGGACCTTGTGGTGGGGTCTCCAGAGGCCTTGAAGAGCACAGCTCCTTTCTGTGCCAGTCGTGGACCTGTCCTTGGTGCTGAACTCTGAGATGTACCACAGTGGCTCTGAGCCTGGCCTGCCTCTGGCACCCAGAGAAGGCTAGCTATTAGTTTTGGGTTGCACAGCAGAGCACAGGCTAATTTCAACCCAGGCCATCCCCATTTCTTCCTCTGGGAACCCTAAACCAATGTGAAATACACTAGTGGCTGATATTATCCTATCAGGATCTTAGGAGGGATCAAGGCCAGAAAAACATGTGTTCTCTCATTCTCTCTTTCTCCCCAGTCCTCTCCACATAAGTGAGTTTACTTGTGTTTGGTGGCCAAGCATTGTCATCCCAGCACTTGGGAGGTAGATGCAGGAAGATTAAGGATTGGAGGCCACCCTGAACTTCGTTTTGAGTTTAAAGTTAACCTGTACTATATGAGACCCAGTCTCAACAAGGAAAGGAAGGAAAAAAGGAAGAATTGATCTGTCTGGGTGTGGTGGCACATGCCTTTATCATCTCAGCACTTGGGAGGCAGAGGCAAGCAGATCTCTGGGTTTGAGGCCAGCCTGGTCTACAAAGTGACTTCCAAGACAGCCAAGAAGACATGTCCTTGTCTTAAAAAAAAAAAAAAAGATTCAAGTCACACTCTGCCTACTTACCCACCATGCAACTCTGCACCAGGGGCCTTATTCCTCCACACCTCAGTTTCCCCACCTGTAAAATAAGTCTCATATAGCCCAAAGCCTCTGAAGTTATTTAGAAGGAGTGAGCTAACACTTTGAAAAACCATCAAGTTAAAAAACAAAAACAAAAACAAAAAACCAAAACAAAACAAAACAAAAAACAAAAAAACCCCAGCTCTTTGTACACAAAACCTTTGGAAAATGCTAAAAATAGCCCAAGGTAGCCAAACACAGTGATAGACACAATGTCAGGCTCATGCTCCTCCCTCCCCAAACACCCTCTCTCTCCCTTCCCCTCACATCCTCACACACCCACACTCTTCTCTTAAAATACTTCCTCCCCTGGGCGGCCAGAGGTGAATGGCAGTATTTGGCCTGAGGTCTGAGCCCGCCTCCTCATGAATGATGCATTAGCCTCAAGTATATTTGAGCAGGGGCTTGCAGGGGAAAGGGGAGGCACATTCAAATGCTTGTGTGTGTGTGTGTCCTTGTTCCATTTCTACCCACCCCAACCCGTCTTGTGCCTTTCCACTGTGTTGGAGTTGGTTGTTTATCATCTAGTGTCACTGGGTGGGTACAACCTCATGTACATCTGTGGTGCTGTATCTGGGCAAGGGTATGCCTGTCTACACCCTGTGGTATGGGAACATCATTTACATGAGCTTCAGGAGGATTTCTGATCCTCGGCAAAGGCCACACACATTCACATACATACACTTGCAGACACTGTGGGTTCCTGGCTTGAGTCTCATACTGGATTTGTGTGCATGGGCATGAACACAGAATACTGTGGAGGAAAGCAGAAGCCAAGCTGGGGATACCCACCCCGCCAGGCCTCTCCCACTGTGACTCCTCAACCTTGTGCCCCCATGCTCTGGATCACCTGTCCCTATTCACAAAACACATCCCAGACACATACCCTAAGAAAGACACATACAGTGACTTCCACCAGGGACACTAACAAAGAGAACCCATTCAGGCGCTTACTGGGTAGGTTGGGTAGCCTCTACACAAAGACACCCACAGTCTGGATTCCTCTGCTGAAGCCCCCAATGGATCAACCACCAGGTCTGGCTCCTCCCACAGTCTGCCACACCAGCCCTAAGTACAGAGTGGGATGCATGTGGCTTTGGTGACCAATACATGGCCACTGTTAATGTGGCCCCCATCACAGTTTTGAAACAAAAGATGCCAATTGCAGTTGTATCAGCCACAAGAGGACCCCAGACCCTCCTGACATGACTCTCCTCATGGCCTGTTGACACACAAAGACTCCCACAAAAGGCGTGGGAACCTTCACTATTTCCCTGTGGGGATGGCCAGGGGCCACTGAGACTGCCAGGACCTAGGGTGGCACAGTGCACCCATTCATCCCCTCCTAACTGATCTCCAAATGCCCATCTTGGGCCATCGCCCACTCTGGCCAGCCTCAGCCTGGCTTCTTCCCAGAAACACTTAGAACGAACAAAGCCAAACTGTGGTATATGGATGGGAGTCACTCAGATACCTCAGTGCCAGGTCCTCTCCCTTCTAGCACCTAGTCACCCAGTTTTTAAAATGCACCAAACACACAGACAGGGGGTGAAGTAATGATGCGGAGGTTTGAGATGATGTGGAGATGTGCAACATCTGGGGGTTGGTTCCCTGTTTCCCCGAATGGCCCATCCAGGTCCTGGACATCTGTGTTGGGCAGACCAGAACCCATACCCAGCATTAGCGTACTCTTTGGGAAAAGGGAATACACCCCAACTCCACATCTGTTAGAAAAACAGAGGATCCCCTCAAGATGGGGCAGTCTGGGCCTCCTGTCCACCCAGGATGCAATTAGAGGGCAGAGATGTGTCTGGGTTCCTTTCCCAGGGACGGGGAGACTCAGCTGCAGACACCCTTGAATTGAGGACCCCCTCCCCACCGCAGCCCTCAATTTACTTGTAAATTGGAGGTCCCCACTTCAAATTCCCGGGATGTCACCAGGGTACCCAGTCCCAAGATTCCCTGGGTCATGTGCAGGTTGCCCTTGTCTTTTTTTTCCCAAACTCGGGGTGTCCTCCCCTAGTCCTAGCTCCCAGCACCTCCTGCTTGATCCAGAGAACTATCTGCAGCCAGGGACCCTCCCCCAGCGGGGAGGGGTTGTTTTTTCATTCAAGACTCCCTTTCCCAACACCCCTAAGACCGCCTCTCATACGCTCTGTCCCCCAAACTCGGATTCCCTCCCCCCACCGCCCCTTGTCCATTCCCATCCAGGAGAGGGGCTTAGCCTTCATCCTGGTCAATCCTCCCCAAGTCCGATTCATTGCCCCCCTCTCTGCGGGACCCCCACACCTGGCTCCTTAGCGCGGACACATCCCCACGGCCCGGGCACAAAGGACACGCGCCGCCAGCTCTCCAACCCCTACGCCTGGTGCTCAGCACGCCAGGCTCAGCCTCGCTTATAAAGGACTACAGGGATGCAGTGCGCATGCGCAGCCCCAGGAGGGTTTGCGAGGTGGGGGCGAGAGGGGAGGGGGACGGGCTGCCAGCCTGAGATTCCCTTCTCGTCTCCAACACAGTCCAAGGGCTGGCTACAACAGACTCTGCCCCCATTCTTCTTGTCCCCCTTAGGAACCCCATTAAATGGCCCCAGTATACCTCATAAGGCCACCTACTCCAATTTATAGGTGGAGGAACTGAGCCTCAGGGAGGTAGAAGTGTTTGCCAATGTCACGTCACGCAGAGAGAAAGGGCAGAGCAGAGGTTCCAACCGACTGTCCAAGGCTCCAAGAACTATTAACTATTCCTACAACAAAAATGGGTCCGGAGGAGCCGCTGGGTCACACAGCTGTGAGATAAAGGCAATATCTTTCCTCAGTAAAAGTTTTTGCTACCAAACCTGAGTACCTGAGTTCAGTCCTTCAGACCTATAGAGTGGAAGGAGAAGAGTGACCCCTGCAGCTTGGCCTCTGATACATACTCCACACAAAAATAAATGTTAAATCATCAGACACACAGGCTGGGCCTGTTAGCTGCAGAAATGCTCCAACAACCCAGCCATGTCCACACCATTCACTCCCTCACCATCATCACTCACTCATCATTCACTCACTTGGTCCTGTCATTTAACAGTGCACACCAGGACCATGGGTTTAGGACACTCCTACTTTGGGCAAAAGTATCTGTGCAGCCTTGACTGGAACATTTGATTTTAGGGGCTGGGAATGTGGCTGAGTTGGTAGGTAGGATTTGGTTTGATCCCCAGCAGCTCATAAACCAGGCATGGGATGGTGGAGCACACCCCTAAACCAAGCACTTAGG